CCGCAAGCTTTTCAATGGGCGGAAGGCGAACAAAAAGAGTTTGAAATAAGGACTTAACGCAGAAGGCTGCATTTCTCCAGCGCCTCATAATTTGACGAGCCTTGCACGAAAAGCATGCTTTTAGACCGGAGTTTGGAGATAGTTTTTTTTACAACAACATCGGTCTAAAGTATCAATGTGCGAAACAAAATACAAGTTTAAACACCTTTTTTTTTTTTTCTGAGGTCATTAGGGTCAAGGAGAAGTTGGCGCATTGTTACTATGCTGAGCGAGGTTCTTTCCGATTTTCCAAATTATTTTTCTCTTCCGAGAAATGTTGCATAGTCGGGACTCGAAACAGGAAGCGTGCCAGAAGTTGAGTCGGAGCATCTTCTACTGCAAGTCCCTAGGTAGGGGTTTTATGAGTCATTGTTTACTGGCATCCAATGCTCGCTGCTAGTTAGAGCCTTGAGAAACAGGAAATCAAAGGAAGTGTTGCTTGGCCTGTGGCCGAGTAGCTCAGTCACAGTCCGTTGCAGCACGAGTCTGGCAGAGGTTGACTTGAAACAGTAGGATGACCGATGCAGTGAAATTCAACACATATTCGAATGCGTCTGCACCTGTAATATTGAACTGCTCATGGGTACGTCATCACTCATCAGTCGACACGAACGTGACCCGCTGCTCTGGTGATCCGATAACCAGGAAGGAGGCCAGACTTGGCCTCGCTGTGCCGACCAAGACTTCGTACCCCTGCGACTCGTCTCGAGCGTGCTGTTTCTCGGAGAGCTCGCACCTGTGCCGGGGTTTACTACGGTTGATCGAATGCCATTTCATCGAAGCATGTTTTAGAGAATGGGCATGTTTTATCGCAGCATGGTTTCGAGAAAGCAGAGCCTCAGTTTAGAGAAACGCCGTTTATCGAAAAGGGGCTTTTCCTACTTCTCGTGTGTAACACTGGTGCACCTGTTAAGCCATATCCCTCGCTGCGCTACCGCCCTTTTGCGGCGGCAGTCTGCGGCGGCTCATTACAAGAAAAGACTGCATCTCCACGTGGTGAATGATGTCGACTGGGGCGAAGCTCTGCTAGTACTGATGATACTAATTTTATTGTTCATAGGTAGTGCTGATGGTGCTGATTTTTTTATTGCTCATAGGTAGTGCTGAGTTCTGGGTTGCGTTTTGACTTCAATATTACTGCTTTATGGTCAATGAAATGCAAAGCCAGTGGTTCTTCTAATGGATCAGCTTGGATCCGCTAGAAGCCGTGGGAACGCATCTCCACGTCTTAAGACAACGGTCCATGTCAGAAAGAGAATGTGTGGCATGGATCGTGGTTATATACGCATTTGAGCATTTGACCGCAGCGCCCTCTCGTCTATAAACGTTGAGCCAATGCATGCAAAGTTTAACGCGATTATATACGCATTTGACTGCAGCGCCCTCTCCTGTATAGACGTTGAGTGCTACATGCAAGAAGACGTCTGCCTCGTAAGCAAGCAATCCTGAGTTCAAACCCCCGTGCGGGCGTACATTTTTTTTTTTTTTTTGAAGTGGGCCGATCTCGGAGGCAGTGCAATCGGTGTGAGCACGGACGCCGGACGGATGGACAAGGCTAGAACCTAAGGAGCTTCGCCCCTAAAATGTTCACTCACCTGATTTACCCGTACACGCCGCTTTGTGGCGGCCGAATTCGCTAAAAGGAGGCTCATCGCCATTTTCTCTAAACTGGGTTCTCTATAAAGGCATTCAATAAACCGGGGTCGGTAAAACAGCGTTCACTAAAATGAGCTTCCCTAAACCGCATGTGGGTCGGCCATCTCAGGTCGCAATCCACAAGGTCTCTGTTTGGATGATGCTAGGCGAAACTTGAGGACTGCCATTCATGCGTTGGAGGTGGAGGGTCGGCAGGAAGGACAGTCACAACAGGGATGCCACCGTATCGATTTTTCAACCGTAACCGAAGATAACATGTGCTCCTGGATGCTCCAGGTGGTCCACTATTCTCAAAAATTCCAAATGCAACTGCCTGCATGATCTTCAACGAGGTCACCTACATCGAAAGTATGTATTGTCCTTTCGTACAGCAGCGTGGAGAGAGTTTCATGTTCAAAGCAACACCTACAGATACAAGAATACTAGGTCATTCCACCGTGACGTCATGTGATCAGAGTTCATAGGGGTGCCCTTATTGGGCAGGGGAGTGGTGACGTTATGATGGAATGTATTCAGAGGTCAAAGTCTTTTCGCATCCCTCGTCAGACAGGCCAAGGAAGGGACCGCGGTCAATCCATGATGAAACGTTTTCTTGAACCCATTGAAGACTCTCTCCGTCTGGAATTAATACCTTCAAGGCGAAGTGCCATGCCTGCGGGATAGTAATTTTGGGATAAAAAAACTGCCATTTCATACTTAAAGCCTCATCTCAGTTGGCGTCTCAAATAAATTTGAAAAATGTATTGCATTATCAGTATTCATACTTCTGCCCTCCCTAATATTCTTCTTGTATTTGTATTTCCAAAGACTTTTTGCTTCTTTTTAAAATGTATTTCCGATACGTATCGCAATGCATTTTTACAGATATATTTGAGAATTTGTATTTTTGCTACTATTTCCAGCTGTCCCAGTATTTGTATTTCCAAATACATTTTTGAGTATTTCCGCCCAACTCTGCAACCCAATGTAGCTGTCAAGAGCCTTTTTTATGTTTAAGAATTAGAGGAATGAAACGGAACGATTCAGCTATTCCAGGAGTGGGAATGGGCCCACTGTTCCTAGGAGTTGAAAGGAATTGAATAATCGAAAACTCTAAATCCCTGGAATGGAATTGGAATGGAACGGGGGTGCCCATTCCGCAACACTGCTACTAACTAGGGAGGGGTCATAGTTATGCTCAACCCTGCTCAAAGACTTGTCAAACCATCCAGGGAGCAGATGCTCTGGGGCACCCCTGACAAACTGTTTTCTAAGCAACAATCTACCAGGTGTCTCAAGCAGCGGACAGGCTCTTTCAATCAACCGCAAATTTCGGTTTCTTAAATTATCGCGCTACGATTTTGTGCAGCGTTGCCCACAGGTGGTGCATTTTTTACAGCGGAGCTGTTAAGGGCTAGGTTACCCAGGATCGTGTCCGGTATGTCGACACAAACCTACCTGAACAGCTACCGCCACCTATAAGCGACGGCGGCAAGCACACAACCAGTCTGGTTTCCACCGTGGCTCGTAGATGGCGGCAACCTTTCCAGCTATCGTAGGAGAATGAATAGTTGGGCGCGTTGGTGGGAATTCATCATAGAAAACAGCGCGAAAAACAGACGACGACAAACAGGAAAGACACGTAACGAGCGCAGCACTCGTCACGTGTGTTTCTTCGTCCTCGTCTGTTTTGCGCGCTGTCTCCTACGCTCTTATCAGTTTCGGTTTGGACTTAGGACGGGTCGGCCGCGCGCCCTTTCGGGAAAAGAAGACTGGGGAGCGGCGACGTACGCAGCAGCACGAATGGGGCCACAACCGCCGCAAAGCCGCTCTCGCCTCGACTTCTACTGCGTCGAGCGCTTCAGATTCTCTTGCCAAGGAAGAGCACATCGCTCGCCTGGAAAGCCTCCGCCGAGAACAGGACCAGCAATGTAAACGGCGCCGGCAAGCCAAAGCCACGAACAACGATCGTGCCACAGAGGCCAAATGCAAGCGCGAGGCCCGGCGACGACTGCACTCCATGCCGGCTGAACAGTTCCCGGGCGCGACGGCGAGGACCCGGAGGGAGTTTGTGGATTACCCGTTTAGCATCACGTGCACTGTGTGCGCTTCATGGGACTCTGGTTCGCCGGAGACGTATCCACGATCGGCGGCGTGTCGGACGAGGAGAAACGAGAAACGGGCGCGTGCCCGTTGCGGCAGTGTATCGAGTACAGCTCCGCTGATCCTCCTTCTTCACGAGAGTGGAAAGGCTGAACGTTTTTTCTATAAAATTTGCAAAGAGCCAACTTACCTGAGGAAAAAGTAAACAAAGAAAAAGGCTTAACTCCTATGTAAATGCAGTGAAGCCAGCGGTCTTAATAGGCTGCCCTATTGTTTGAAGACCAGTGGCTTGGCCGCATTTTGCAATTTTGAAAAGAAGAAGAATCTAGTCGCGTTGTGACGGTCAACATCGGTTCACGGCTCTCTGGCATCACGCAGGAGATCGCGATTCAGGAAAACCGATCAAACTACCTTTTCAACAATTTCCAGCCACACCTGGTGGCAGAAATGAGCCAACTAAATGTTGTAGATGATAAAAAAGAGTCAGTGTCACCACTTCAAAATATTAATATTAAAATAAGTTCAGTTACAAAAATGTTACAAGCTGAAACAGCACTTATCACAAGACGACTTGCACGCACCTTGTGAGCGTACCCCATGTTCATCGACGGTAGAGCATTAAGTGCGGTGCACACTCCATTCACAAAATGTTCCGAGCACAGTCGAGAGGATGGTGTTGGGGAAAAGTCTTTTCGGTTACGGACACAACCCACTGCCGCCTGAGATTGGGGTCATGTGGAAAGCGATGAAGCTTGAAGACACTGCGGCCGAACTCGCCCTGCCAGATTCCGTGCAACCTACATAGGTCTTCAGACAGTATTCGACGCTTTCTGTCGTTACTCGTGCACCGTACAACCAAGCAATGGTGTCCCAATGACCGAGGGACTGTCGCCATCCAAGCCCGTGGCTCTAACTAAGTTTGGGAGTTTAAAACAAAGAAAGCGCAAACGAAGTTCGAGCAATGCATACACCCAACACCCGCGAAGCCTCTCATCTGGGAGTTCCAATTTCTAACGTTCCAGCAAGGGGAAAGCGCTACCGGCGCTTTTCCCCTTTTCTCTCACCCTCTTTCAGTAGGACGGTCTATATTCAACCCATTCCTGATGCAAGAATCACATTTCATTAAAGTTTTGAGGGAGAGTGCAGCGCCATTTCGGCGGATGCTGTACATCTGCGAAGCGCCCCATCCCCTGCGGCAAGCGAGCGGGTCGGCTGGAACTTACCGGCACTCAGGGTGGCAGCCACGACGTACTCCAGGGGCCTGGACACGTGGCTGTGGTTGCGTGCCAGGCGCACGTAGACGCCGAAGCGGTAGCGCGAACCGGGGCTCAGCCGGGCAAAGACCCAACTCAGGCCGGGGGTCCAGCTCTCGTTGCGCCAGCTCTGGTCCTTCAGCATCCTTCGGCGCAAGCAGAACACACTCCCTTCATTGCCAGGCCAGCTTTCTATTTGCTCCCTCCCAACTGGGCTGCCAATTTTTACACAATCTTTTGTCTCGTAATAGCACCCGTTGTCAGCACGTCAAAGGATTTTTTTCTTCAGGGACTTCTGTCTCAGTTTGATCTTTTCCCTGTTCCAGAAGGACAAATCTATGCCATTTAAGCTCGCGCTTTATGGCCAACACTGAAATCTAGAAATTGGTAATAAAAAGTGAAAGCCGTTTACAACTCCCTGTAACGCCGAATTAGAGCGCAGCTCTTGAGGAGGAGGAGGGAAGGGTACTGGGGGGGTCAAGTGGCCTTGGGGGCGGGGTCACGTGACCTGGGGGGTCACGTGACCTGGGGGGTCACGTGACGATGGCGTCATCAGTAACGATGACGATGCGGATACCGATGACGTTATCAGTGACGTCACTGATGATGACGTCATCAGTGATGATGACGATGACGATGCCGGTGACGTCATCAGTGATGATGACGATGACGATGCCGGTGACATCATCAGTGATGAAGGCGTCATCGCATCGTCATCGTCATCAGTGATGATGACGATAACGATGCAGATGCCGGTGACGTCATCAGTGACGTCACTGATGAGTCACGTGACTTCGGGTGTCACGTGACCTCGGGAAGTCACGTGGCCTTGGGGTGACCTTGGGGGGTCACATGACGACCTCAGGAAGTCACGTGACCTTGGGGTGACCTTGGTTACGTTGACGCAGACGTTGCAACGGTTTTTGTAAGATGCAACAGGTTGCATGCAACTTGTTGCATCTTCTCCGAGCTGCATGCAACAAGTTGCACAGAATGCAACAGGTTGCACGCAATATGTTGCATGCATCCTCTTGCATCTTCTCTGAGCTGCATGCAACAGATTGCACAGGATGCAACAGGTTGCATGCAACCTGTTGCATGCAACGCACAGTAACGCCGACGGCGACGGCGACGCCGCTCAGGCTGGAAACGGGCCCCTAAGAGCTGCGCTCTAAAACAAATTTAGTAGGGTTGCGCGAATATTCCAATTTTCGAGTAGTAATTTCATATAACACTCTATTCAATGTTCGGATCGAAATGAACTGCGATATTCCTATTTTTCCAAGTCCTGATGCGACGGGTGAGCCCCGCTGAGTGTGCTTCTCACCGGTGCACTGTGAAGACGCAATTCACCCACGAAACTGAGCTTTGCGGGTGTCTTTGGAGCGCACCGGTGCTTGGTAAGCACGCTCAGCAGGGCTAAGCCACCGTGATCAACACTTACAACAGTAAAATATTGCAGTCATATGCTTAGAATAACACTTGCCAAGCAGGATGGTACACATGCACCAAGTGTATCTAGAAACAAACAAAAACTTTGTAAGTGTTCATATCTAGACTACTGTAAACTTCTCAAAATTAAAATGTTGCTATTATGTGAGAGTATATCCCAAGAGAAAATCAGTCCCCTTGCAGATGGAACTTATCCTAGTTGGATCCAGCTGGAAATGAGACGATTCAGCTGGATCCAGCTGGACTGTCTACCCTCCAGCTGGATCCAACTGCGATAAGTTCCATCCGCAAGTGGACTGATTTTCTCCTGGGATGTTAGGCAGAATAACAACTGGGGTTGTGTGGATATTTAAAGAGCGTGTAGTTGGTCAGCCAATGTTAGGCAGGGATGTCCCGGTAACCTGTGTTTATCACTTAATGGTTGTCTTTCTTTTTCTGTTTTCTTAAATTTGAGATTTAAAAAAGGATATTTGCATATAGTGAGAAGATTTATAAATCCCCTAGATTTTGTATAGCTGTTTCTCTCTATAGGTTTAAAGGTACGTCAAATGTGTCGTTTATGTACTTGCCACACTAATGTAGGCCTTCATCTTTCTCAGGCCACAGTTCATAAATATTGTTAGAGTAAAACTACCTAGCTTAGCTCAGAAATGGACAGGCGGAACCTCAGGAACAACCGTCACGAGTTCAGCTGGATTTATGCTCGATGCAGTAGTGAAACACTGATGAACTTTTCTATATTCAATAAGAAATATTCAAACAAAGCTGCTATTCACTTCGAACTCAAAATCCATTATTCGCGTCCCGAAAAGCAGAATTGAAGGAAAATATCCTTGCTCCGAGGCATGCCCACAGATCAGTGTGCCTTTTCATAAATAAATATACCTCATAAAGCACGCTACCGTTTTTCTGTGGCAGGACCAAAATTTGAGTTCAATTTGCGGAAAAAAACCTGGCACTCAAAGGTTTAAACCTTTGAGTGCCAGGTTTTTTGTCCAAGACAAACTTGGAAATCTAAAAAAAAAAAAATTCGCAAATCTATTGTAACAATTTGTACATGTGGTGTACTTTTAAAAAAAAAACAATTTCGGGCTTCAGAAAGGGGGTGAGTAAATTATAATCAAATTTCTGGGGAAAAAAAAAATTGAGGCCGTGTTCATGTTTTGAGGTTTCTTTTCTGAAAGCCGTATTGCCCCGATTGGGTGATAGGAGCCCAGCTTGCTTGTCTGCCTCTAGCCAAATGCTTGCCTTTACGCCCTCTCATTTGCATGACGCCCTAAAAGCCCCGAGGCAATCTGAACCATCGTTCCTGCTAGGGAGCATACATGGGTAAATTACTTTCAAAATGTAATTTAATTACAATTACAATTACTTAGCCCCCAAAGTAGTTTAACTACAATTACAATTACTACTACGCGAAAGTAGTTCATTGCAATTACAAATTACTTTTTAAAAGTAATGCAATTACTTTACAATTACTTATTTCTGAGAGTTACCCACCTTGGGCCATATAACTGTAAACGAGTTATATGGCCGCTGTATAAATGTCACGCATTGTACTTTTCTTTTATGAAATTTGTTAAATGGATTATAGAACTTAATAGTTTGGAGTAATGAACTTCTGATTTCTTATATTCTCAAAAAATAAAAATAAATGGCGACAAAATTCACAGGTGCGAGGTGAATCTCTTTAGAGCTTGTGCAAATGGTATCCAAGTCAAACCAACAAAAAATAAACTTAAAAATAATACAAGGAAACAAATATGCGACAGTACTGGTATCATAAAACTCGGTGATTCGCTGCCTCTCCCTGTCTGTGGACTTGTAACATGTCAGATGTGGGTAACCGTAGCACGCGAACTGCGGTCGCTTCCACAAAACTAGTGTCACAATAGCAGCAACTCTCTTGCCAGGATTCTGGGTTAATTCAGTGCACGGTAACACCAAAAAAAAAAAAAGCTCCTGAGATATATAATAAATTTAGGATCGTCATGTCAGGCGAAGAAGCAAAGCAGCAGGTCTAATTAACACGACTCACCCTGCCTTACTTCCAACTGTTGTTGCTAAACTGCGCTTCTTCGCCTCGATATTAGAGTAGCACGACCCTCTGTTAGTGGTACCAACATACGAGATAGAGGAGAAAGACGTGAAAACTCATAAAGAAAAGAGAATAATTACATGAACAAAAAAGTCCCCAAACTTGACTGAAATATGTAAGCGAATATGCTAGCGGCGAAGACGCGTAAGGAAAACTTCGAACCTCCCCGCCTCGACCGGATGATGTGATCGGAGCCAACCAGCTCGACTTCGACCCCCATACCCCCGTGTGGGAATGAGAAATAAGAAAGACCCCTAGAAACAGGAGCAACAGGAAGCGAACGAGACGAAGAGTCAGATTCAACTACGACAGGAACGAAAACGGACGCGAATGAAGCCCTCATTTATCAAATTATTTCTGAAATTCTTCATTAAATCGTTTTGCAGTCTACAAAATCCTTCATTCCGTTCTATCCCAGCCTCCCTTTTCCCTTTTTTTGAGCAGGTTGGGAGACTCTCTCTTTTATTGCTTCGGTTGTGCTCTCGTCGCCGTGGCCAGGGGGGAAAAGCGCCACCGCCGCAAAATCTTGCAAAAGTAATTGTAATTGTGCCTGAAATTTAGCAATTACTGATGCTAGAAAGTAATTAAATTACAATTACAATTCCTTTCAGCCAAAAGTAAATATTACAATTACAAATTACTAGGAAAAGTAATTAAATTACAGTAATTTAATTACTGTAATTGAATTACTACCCAAGTATGCTAGGGAGCAACTCCTTTCTCTCGCGAGGCATTCTAAAAAATGACCGGAGCAATTCCAGGATGCTGCTATCAGACTCCTCTGAATGGAAGCGTGCTCCTTGCCTTCCACTGCGCCTCGGCTACACAACCCCTTGTGCAGCAAAACCTGAAGCTACTTGCTCGCGCCGTTTGCACCTTCCACAATGCCAGTTGGCCAAAGAAATATTCCATTTAAAGTGATGCGATGGGTCCGAGTTGTCTCGGAGCAGCTCTTGACGCAGTCGAAAGTTAATTTCAGACAAGCAATAATAATTTAATTTTCATTCCTACCACTGCAAAGATTACGTTAAGATGCATGTTTCGACCTGCCCAACTAGGCAACTCTACTTTGCCTCGTTACTTATGTGCAACCTTTTGTTAGCATCAATTGCGCAGCAGGAGCAATTCCCTCAAACATGCAACTAGCTGTTTAGTTGCATCTAGAACCACCACACACGGCAAAAAGACAATGACTGACAAAGGACAGCACGAACTGCGGGGAATGGTTGCTCTAGGTATGAAATCCGAGTGAAGTAATGTTTGAATGCAATAATTTTTGACTACCTATATCTATAATTCCTTCCAGCTCTAGGCACAATAAAACTGCAGTTCTTAATTCACGTAAAAAAACAAAGCTCTCGTTATTTCCTGATGAAATGTCAATTACATTTTATACGTTGAACTTAATAACAAACATTGGCTCATCAACGATTAAAACGCTTCTTAAAGAGACACTGACCCCCCCCCCCCCCCCAAAAAGTTTTTTTAATTTTTTTCCAGGCGATTTAATATGGTGCCAGGAAACTACCCAATCAATATTTTGCTGCAGTCACGTATATTTTTGATTAAGTAAAACAACTCCAACTACTCAAAACTGAAACACAAGCACGGTAGCTCACGGCCAGAAGTCACGTGGCTACACCCGACCGAGTTTTTTTCCTTTCCTACGCTTCTCCAGCCTCTGAAGCAGACGACAACAAAATTGCGTCAACGGTTTGTTGCGCGACTGTCTTACACTTGAAGCTTTTCCGCTCCATCTTCCGCACTTGAAGATTGATTGGCCACACAAGATGGTTTCAAAGTGGCAGCCCCAGGTCCGTCGCAACGTTAGTCAATCGCGTGCCACCATCGCGTCGTCCAGCCACATCGCGATATTGACAATGATGTGCACATATAATCAATGTGATCCGTGCAACATTTCTTTGTCAATCAAAGCATTTGCAGCATCATGGATGCCACAAAAAATGGGGTTTGTATTATTTTTTACTTCTAGCGAATGTGCGTCTTAGATAACCCACGACTGTGAATACATTTGGTAAGCATCGTTTAAATGCCACGTGACCATAGAAACGAGAGTGAGTGCGACTGGAGCCAGCCAATTCTCAAACGGCTGTTTTCGGGTGGAAAGAAAATTGATTTCGAGCAGCCGATTGTGTTCTGGTTAGTTGGGCTCTTATAGGTCCCATTAAAATTAAAACCTTCCACGAGCATAAATACCTCGTCACTGTCCTCCTAAAAACAATCCCGCCAAACTCATTAAGGTTCTTCCCAAGCTTCCATCCACTACTCCCGCTAATTTAGTTAGGATTTACTTGGACGTAAATAAAACTGACAACGAAACAAAAAGTTGGCATAAAACATAAACCCTAAGAAAGAATTCATATAAATCTTCTCGCAATACCAAAGTATCCTCGTTAAAATCTAGAATTGTGAAAAGATACTGCCAGGATATCGCAGTCAGTCTATTATATATACGAGCCGAAGGTTTGTTCAAAAATTACCTCGTCTCGCTCTGGAGGAGTGCTTTCCCTTTAGCACGCATCTGCACTGTGGCAAAGCAGGACATGAAAATCGCGACGCTTACTTGGCAGTTGTCGGGTCACCAGAGTACGCTGGTGTGCGGTGAGAGGCACACTCGACAAAACTAATAGCGAGTTGGTTTAACCGCACTCGCACCCACGCGTGACCATTCGCACCGTAGAGTGGGCTCGTTTTAGCCACCACTGCACGAGTGGCTGCACTTTCCGAGCTTGTTTCGGCGCTCCACGCGTGCATGCACTCGCTGCACCGAGAAAATCCAGTGTGCACCAAAATTAAATTCCCTCATGCCTCGCTCAGGCGAGGAGCGACAGCACGGGGTTTGTCGGCTACAATGCGTCATTCGCACGGCAAAACCAAAAGAAAAAAAAAAGTTAATTTTCCGCTGGAAATTGCGCCTTGCGGGCAAGGGGATCAAACGCCCAGAGTTTGAATTGTGAGCGTCTGCTATTTCATGAAGGAAGCAATCCAGAACCCGCGCTCTATTTGCAAGTTTTGAATTGCTCTGTTACCGTACAGACGCTGAAATCTACCAGTGTGTAAAAAGAGGCTCAGGGCAAACATATCGGTGGTCGCGAGATCGCTCTCACCATCCGCGTGAGGGTGAAAAGTTGAATGTTTGTTGACAAAGCTCCCCTCGTAGAAACCTGCGATGCATCCAGTCAGCATCCGAGAAAGCTCGTGTTGACTTTACGAGACGCTCACACGAAATCATCACGTTTAACACTTACCTACGTCAACTCTCTTGTCTCGTCGTATTTTGTTTGAGGAAGCTCTCATTCTTGACGCTCTCATTAGGGCTAAAATTTGATCCACCTGTATACGACGATCGAAATCAAAAGTTTCACGAAACATATTGCAGGATGTTCTAACGGACTAGCTTTAAGTCGTATCCTTTCATTTGTTCACGCATTATAGTGTGCTTAAAACGGATCAGGCTTCTGCGCGGACAGTATTTTCTCTAGTGCTAACAGTTATAAAAATTGAAAAATTTTAACCAGTTTCCTTTGTAGCAAGCTGGCTGCGAGAACTTACGCCGTCCGTAAATACCTCTACGACTGCCGAGTTGCTTAAAGTCATTGCAAATATAACACGTTTGCTTTCCCACCCATCAAGTTGAACAGAAAGACTCTAGTTTCGGTTGAGGTCGATACTCTTACTACAACATAAATGGCGACAGTATCAGTTCATTCGGCGAATCCGTTCGCGGCTGGTTCCCCCTTTTGGGACTCCACGAGTGCGATGCATTCTGGCAGAGAACTCGCCAGTGCGTGTGAAACCAACATGTGAGAATTATTGTGCAACTTCCAAGTACTGTCAGTGTTTGGCACAAAATCAGATCGACTAGTGCGTTACTCGAGGCAATAATTTAAAGTTCGGAAAACTTGCAAAACCCCATCGAAGCGATCCGACCGAGTTCCGAGGCCCAAGATATTATATTTTTGGGGTTTTTAAAGCAAAATTAAGGTGCAATGTTGCCACAAATTTCTCACATTTCGGTAAAATGTAGCAAGATGTAGTAGTCAGGTGTGCGCAGCTATCGCATCACCACATTTAACAACTATCGCAGGTCTGTAGTGGTTGAGCGTCGGGATCTTGGGATGTGGGATATTTTATTCTCAATCACCTATCGCTCTCCCCCGCAGGTGCATTAACTTTGCGTTACAAATCCTAACTTTCCTGGGCGGATGGCTAAAAAAAACAGACTTAAAACTCGCGCATTTGGGCACCGTCCTGCTCCGCAGAGCGAGAAGGATGCCGCTGCCAAAGCTGCCGAGTTGCTCGAGAGACGTACTGCGGGTGCAAATACTCCTACGAGAGCTGCATGAAGAGAAGGAGGGCACGCACTGCACAGTGGGCAGGTACTCGAAGCTCCGGTTCCCGCCGGGAGGCTGCCAGAAGATGCGCACGCTCGTCCAGTTCAGGTGTTTGCTGTCCACCAGCAGGGTGTGCACCGAGTAGAGCTCTGCAGGGACCAGAGGCAGAGGGGGCATCCTCACGGCGTCTGTGACTCCCACCGTTAAGCGGGGGTTGCCCTCCAGCTCCCCTCGCATTATTTATTTATTTATTGATACTGTCAGCCCTAGATAGGGCTTTTACAGGAGTGGGTAATACAATGCAGTAAATCACATACATGCAAACAACAATGCACAATAAGAAAAAACAAAAAAAGAAGAACGGCGGCAGAGAATACTAAAACCTGCTGCGACAAAAAGCGCAAGGAGAGAGAAAAAAAAAAAAGACGCTTCTATTATATCACTTGCTGACTAGACAGGCAATGATACAGCATTCGAAGTGCTCAAGTACTTATACAGATTAACGCCAACGCAACAAGTGAAAAAAAAAAAAATGATGTGAATGGGCTCTGAGGGTAAGAGTAGAACACTAGATAGGCATCGTGATTCCATCCTTCTTTCTGCCAGCAAAACTAACCATCTGTTGCTACTCAAGGACCACTTTTGACGTACGGAGAAAAAGGCTTTCTTCAACTTGGGTGGCACGATACCTTCTGCATGTTGACTCTGCGCATCTCTGATCCCTCGTGCCCTCCAACCCCGGCCCACTGTAGGTACTGGGTGGAGCTTTTGCAACGTTTTTTATCACCTTCCAAAACAAAACATTAGGCACTTACTAGTAGAAAGTACTACGTTGTTCTCAAATATCATACTCGGTGAGGCAAGCAAATTCCTCGCTCAAAAAAATTAGGTCCAATGTCCCTTTGTTTTAGAGGTATTGGCTGCAGTCAAAATGACAGGTTCACGCAACTCAAGTCAGGTTATGCTTAAAAAGTTTACTTCGTATACACAAACTCATCTCTGTTACGTCACGGCGCGGTGGTGGCGCGTCGGACGCACTTCCAGTCTGGGGATGTGGGCGGAAGTGCCCATTTGAGACGTGTATTCCTGCATTGTTTTGAAAGGAACCAGTCAAAAACCTGCCTTCTCGTCAAAATGCTGCGATTGGGGCTGTACCAAGAGAGTCGAGAAAGATTTGAAGGTCAGTTTTCATGCGCTCGGTTCGTCCGAGAACGCGGATATGTGCCGTGAAAAGGGAAAACCAGACGCCGTCGGACCACGATTGCTTGGGCGGGAAGCATTTTGGGTTAAATTCACGGATCCTACTGGCCATCAAATTTATTTGTTTGGTTCAAAATGAACGCCGGAAAACCGCAAAGTTGTACGGACCACCTGCGGACTACGTTTAGTGCGTCTTCAAGTTCAAACGGTCGCCTGATCGTTCTTACTGTCGTCTGCTCTTTCAAACGTTTCTGCTTGTCGTCTGCTCTTTTAGAGGACCCCGACCCGTAGACCAAACGTGGGCCCGGTACTTGCGATAAGAATTAAGTGCAGGTCTTAAAAGACTTAAGTTTGAAGGTTGGTAAGCAGGCTCGACGTAAACAGTAGATACAAGGAGATGTTGATCATTGTTACCAGTGGCCATCACCGACTTGTTATGCCTGATTCACTTGGTTAGATTCTGCTTGCGATTTTCAGTATCGACGTCGACCATCTCAGCTACGGTTCACGTTTTTGTAGTCCGAGCGACGTCGCTACTGAAAATTGCGAGCGAAATCTCATCATGTGAATCAGGCTTTAGCGTACGTTCTGCGGCGTCCACGCGGAATGAATCGCCGCATGTCACATTATTCACGCGAAGTTTTGCGGTGTAACGAGACTCGTTAATTTCGCTGACGCTGCTCAAGTAGTCAGTCATCGTTAGGAGAACGTAGAATCAACAGTTCCAACGCGAAAAAGAGCGCGGGGACTCACACCGGCGCCGACAACATCGCATTTCAATGGTTTGTTTATGGGCGACGGCGAGCTTTTTGCCCACACCCCCATCGCGCATGCGCGGCGCCGGTGGCGTCCGCTAGGGGCACTCCGGTTTGTTTGTAAACATGAGTTGGTGTATAGGTAACCGCTAAAAAGCGCGCGAAAAATATTGCGCCTCTCTAGGAGGCGACGATGCCGAGATATTATTTTATGGCGCAATATTGTTTATGCGCGAGAATAAAAAAACAAGAGAGGGTGTTTTTTTTCTAGAGGATTCGGTATTTTTCAACGAGGAAGCTCCCGTTTTTTGTTTTTTTTAGCCCTTGGGCTAAGTTGGGGATCCTGTGGGCCACTAGACGAGATATTGGATAATTAGCTAATGAACTCGAATGTAATCTTTTAGATCTGTGGCAACATTCAAATTTTTTAAGAGCAGTTTCGATAATAGGTTATTTGCTTCCAGATGACACAAAGTGTTAATCGCGGTGGGTTAGTCCCGTTCAGCCCACTTCTTACCGAGTACTGGTGCACTGCTGAGAAGCGACGCCTGCAGAGCTCCCTTCCGCAGGTGCTGCTTTCCCACAGTGCACAAGCCGTAGGTAACAAGCGCGCTCAACGGGCCTAACACGTGGAAAAATATTGCAGTAGGAAGAAAGCAATCTTTCAAAGGAGGGATGGTGCCCGCACGCACATTTCAAAAGAAGCTGGGTGAATGTTGATATCTAGGTTACGGTAAAATTTTCAACATTAAGACCATGCTACATAGAGATGTCCCAACAACCTGCATTTATTGTAAGTGATTGTCTTTTTTAGGGGCGAAGCTCCTTAGGGTCTAGCATTGTCCGTCCGTCCGTCCGTCCGTGCTCACATAAAAATAAAAAAAATGTTTGCGCAGTCGACAGGATTCGAACCTGTGTGGGGAGACCCCAGTGGATTTCTAGTCCATCGCCTTAACCACTCGGCCACGACTGCGGGACGAGTAGGGGGCTCTGAGATGTGGTAGTAACTGAAGAGCTGGGGATGTCAGGGATGAAACGCTGCAGGTAGCCGCTCAACGTCTATACAGGAGAGGGCGCTGCGGTCAAATGCGTATATAATCGCGTTAAACATTGCATGCATTGGCTCAACATTTATAGACGAGAGGGTGCTGCGGTCAAATGCTCAACTGCGTATATAACCACGATTCATACCACACATTCTCTTTCTGACATGAATTGTTGACTTAAGCGGTGGAGGTGCGTTCCCATGGCTTCTAGCAGATCCAAGGTGATCCGCTAGAAGAACCACTGGCTCTGCGTCTCACCGACCATAAAGCAGTAATAATGAAGTCGAAACGCAACCCGGAACTCAGCACTACCTATGAACAATAAAATCAGTATCATCAGCACCATCAGAGCTTTGCCCCAATCAACATCATTCACCACGTGGAGGTGCATCCATTTTTTTTTTTAACAAGACAGATGGGATGGCAATCGATGTGAGCACGGACGCCGGACAAGGCTAGACCTTACGCAAAGCTCCTAAAACTTACTTTCAGGAGTTTCGCCTCTAAAAGTAAGTTTTACAAGCCAAAGTTGGCTCGGCGACAAAAAAAGAAAGCTACAGAGAAGCGCTTTGAGAGCATGCGCTGAGAAAGCTTCGAGCCGATTTTGGTACCGGGTGGCCAGACCGTTGGCGACTAAGAAAAATAACAACAACAACAAAAAGAAAAAAAAAAAGGAAAAGAGAACTTATGTTTTCTGGTGCGCAAGATGGAGCGTGCACGATGCTACAGAAAAACTCTCCGAGAGCGCGCGCTGGCTCGTGCGTGCCCAACCACCATGCTATGTTCTCTGCGCTACTCCACGCCAGGTTGGTTGCGCTGGCACGTGTCATTTGCTACGGTCCATCTCAACGGCGTAGACGAGCAGGCGCATATTTGAGCACGTTCGGCCATGCAGCAAAGGGCCCATGTTTCGCCGTACGTTGGTGGTTTTTCTGCCGCGGTGCCGTGCAATGTGAGCCCGCGCACATTCGCTCGAGACGAATTATCCGATGCAGGGTCTTCCCGAGTTCGAACTATCGAACGTTTCCTTCCATAGAAATGCATGGGCGCTCGCCGGGACTTTTGAACACGATCAAATTAAACGAAAAGTCGAATTAGCCGAGGTCGATTTAACGGAACTTTACTGTAATGCAGCCAAGGGACCAAGGTGTGACTCAGAACCTGAAAGTGTACTACCGCCACCAGCTACTCCACAGAATGCTTCTTTGTGCAGACAGTGGGAAAGACTATAGTGTGAACTTGCTTTCGGCACTTCACATGCTGACCTATGCCTGGGAGCGAGTTAACGTGTTGGATGTGCAAAGATGCTTTCACCACGCAGGCTTCGCGAGACAAGAAGTCATTCCTGACGAGGATGGGATACTGCTAACGCTGATGCGGCTGATGCTGACATCCTTTTTGGTCAGCTGGTCCCTTCCACTTCTTTCAAGCAACAAGATTATGAAATGTTAGATGCAAACGTCGCCACATGCCGTGAAGAGAGCATTGAAGAGCTGGTAGCTGAAGTTCGAGGTGAGGAGGCCTCGAGCTCCAGTGAAGAAGACATGGAATGCAGTGGTCCTGCTGCAGTGCCAGACTACACAGCAAGAGAGGCTGTTGATCTTTTGCAGAGCTACTTTGAGTCTGAAGGCTGTGCGGAGTTTCTGCTCAACCTCCAAGGCATGCACACCTACTTCGTCAAAAAGCGATCACAAATTGCAAAACAAACTCCCATTACCTCTTTTTTCTAGTCAGCTAGGTTAGCTGAACATCATGCTTGTGAAATAAAGTCATATTTCACTCATTTTATGTGCTTTGCTTAAATGAAACTTCTGATAAACGAAACAAATATTTCTGTCCCTTCGAGTTCCGTTTAAAAGAAGTCCACTGTACTGAAATCTGGGTTCTACTACAGATTCGTGTTCCTTGTCTCGTAAATTCTAGCTGTGTATTCTGCTCAGAAAATGCATGTACACGTGGCAAGATGATGAAAGGGTAAGAGAAGGACATACTCTACTCAGTTCCTCGCGCAATAAGAGAAAGGAACCACATTGATATGCACACCTGACTTGCAGCTGGCCTCGTCGCTGGAGTCTGCACAGTCCCCGATGCCGTCGCAGCGACGGCTGGCCGGAATGCAGCGGTTGTTGCCACGGCAGCGGAACTCGTCTTGGCTGCACTGCTTCCAAGGGTCTGCGAGGCAGAGGTGCGCTGTAATGCGTGTTCCATGCCCGACAGCCAAACCGAGCAACTCCCACAAGTTGGGACACCGTCCAGCTAGCCTCCAAGAAAACAAGAAACAGAAGAGCAAATCCCAAGCCAAGCAACCACTCTACAGAAAATTCTGATAGACCAGGCAGAACGAGAGACGTGGCCCTCTCGTGTTCAACCTCAGTTGCAACAAACAACAGCGATAAGCTGAAGCCCAAGTGACGTCGAGGACGGAACTCGCGGTTACCACTCCGCACTTGTGTTTCGCGGAAGCTGACAAATTGATTGTCAAGCAAAGTATTAGCTCGCGCACCATCTTACGCTTCAAGCGTCAAATTTACCGGGGTGCGTGACAAAATGACCTGTTGAAGTTCCCCGACGTCTCCAGGTTTTCCCCGACTATCTTACCGAAATTCACAGACACACTCCTAAGGCAATGTATATGAAGTGGCGTTCTTACGCGAAAACACTGGCATATCTGTCGGCCACTGGGGCAGTGGCCAAATACTAGATCGCCTTACCAGGTCGGTCAATTCTTTTGCACCTTTTCGGCAAATAAATGTCCCACATTAAATAAACCACAGGGCAAGCTCGCGTCCCTAACTCTTTCGTTATCACACATATTCAAATCAATCAATTTTATCGATGGATTTCAACCAGTCCAACACCGTCTTTACACATGATGCCCCATAACTGAAAGTAACGGGAAAACTCTATCTTGAGTTTCAGTTTCGGCTTTTGCTTTTTCACAAGGGGGCGATTTTTCGCGTGACATTAAAGTGCCAGGATTGTGAGCGATCGCATCAATCCTCGTCACGTGCCTCCTCAGAAACATCATCTCACTCACAATTCTGGTGCATGGGCAACCATTTTTGTGGAAGAAAGTGCCAGCAGTGAGTCAGAAAATGACGTTCATTCGTTGGATTTTAATTTCGAGCATGGCAGTGCGTCGAACCCAGTCAGGATTATCCGTGGATGCCTGTCGGTATGTTTTGTTTCGTGTGCCAAGCGCATTTATTGCCCCTACGAATTTCTGAGGACATGCTGGGCGTGTTTCCAGTGCATTATTTTTCATCTACATGGTGTCAACCTCACAGTGTCAAGACCGGCTATAACCAATATTAGATAACACTCTCGAGATAGGTTTATTTTATCGCATCAATTTATAGAATGTGCAATTACATCACATATTGCTATAAAGGTGCCACACAATAAAGGGCTTGGTGAAAAAAAAAACATTGATCCTGTTGTGCTGCCATCGGACAGATAGAAGCGGAGCAGATCGAGAACGCACGCATCATACGCATTTCTCAGTGAATAAACATATTCATAGGAGAATGCATGGCAGGCAGATTATTTGTTACTCGCTCCAATATTCGCAGTTTGTGCAAATATTTGCCATTTTTTCCGAATATGCAATTTTTAAAGCGAATACGCTTCGAATAAAGAAAATATTCTATTCATATTTAAAATTTCAAATATTTACACACCCCTACTAGAAGCTCTAAAAGTGTGCATTGACTACCAAAGTGCTACGCGCTACTGTGCAGTCGTAGAATTATAGCTTCCTCGGAGAGCATCAGTGGTGCTGAGGTCGCTCGCGATTGTTTTTATTCTTTGGGCCCACAATTGTCCGCCATGTGAAAACAACAGGCCTAACGAAGGCAAAGAAGGTGCCACATTTTTTTTGGGTGTTTGGGAGTGAACTGCACATCACAAATGATCCGCATCGTAAGTGAACTACGCTTGTTCAAAAAGCAAGTACGACCGATACGGAATTGTGTTCCCTGCCAGTCGTTACCGGTAAGAAACACAGTTGGGGACAGTTTCCTACCAGTAACAGGCAGGCTGCAGGGAACTGGGTTGATTTTCATCAGAAGCCTGGCAACGTAAGGGCAAGTTCTTGCGCGACCGTTGAATAATGGACCGAACAAGTGCTGCCTAGAGGAAGAACGTGAATGCACCCCTACAAGACGTAAACTCTTGTTGGCTTTGGACAAGTTGGGGGGCTCTAAATGCAGCAGATGCTAATGAGCAACACCGTGCCCACACGACAAGCTTCGAGAGCTTCCTTGTGAAGTATGAAGCACCTACAAAACAAACTGATGTAACTGATTTCTTTACTGCAACGTAAGTGGTATTTTTTATAGTTGTGGTGTTTGTTTTTGGACACTGCCTTTTTAAAGCTTCAATAACAGATTTTTTAAATATACAGTAAAACTCCCGACGTAGTCTCGACAGGTTTACTAAAAAGTGGTTCTACTGTATATAGAAACTGAAACTAGAGTGTCTAATCTAAACACCAGTTGCACTGACGACAAGCACAAACCGTGCGAGACCAGTAAAGAACATAAAAACCAAAACAAGCCTTACTGACGGGCAGTTGTCGATGTTACTTGACAAATCATCGCTGTCAGAACTAAAATCTGATGACGACTCACTCGTGCTACTATCAGCAACAAAATGAACTGCAGACGCTTCCGAGGAAGCCACCATGTTCGCAGCATCTGGAGCACCCTTCTCCGGCTGCGTGTTTGGTGATGATGAATCGCCATCTCATGGGGAAATACAGAGCAATATAGAAACTGAAACTAGAGTGTCTATTCCAACCACCGGATACTGTAACTTATCCAGAAACACATCGGAGGCTTTGCTACGGGGCTTGCAAACTGTCTATCACGGTTGATCAAGTTGGACGGGAATGAGCAACACAAACTTTTTTTGAAGTTACAAGCTTGTGGTGGCATAATTCACGCACAAAATAGAGTCAAGCGGTGTTCACCTTTTTGTGCGTATTCTGAGCCAAACTCGACTAAATTGCAAATAAAAATAAAATATTTTTATGGAAGCCCCGCAACTCATCTCTGACCACGGCGGAGGCTGCGCCACAAGCTGCTGTATTTTGACAGACAAAAGAGGAAAATCAGAAACTCGTCGAGTACTCTTTGCATATTAAAAAGCGTGTCAATCAACCATGGAGCTCACACAGAAAAGTTTCATTTGTCTGCAAGTTCCCACATCCTTTCAGTCTCAAGGAATGGACCTTTGTCCAGTAAGCCTCTGCACGTTCACTTTGGAGGGCCAAGATTTCCAGCAGCCATCTTGGCCCGCATTTCGTCTTCATTGACAATCGTTTCTATTATCGGTAGTATGGGGCATAAAAGCCACAAAAACCGACACAAATGCACAATTCCAATGTGTTCCAACGGTCAGAAGCACATGCCCTTTGTGTGTAGTCGGCAGGCTACCCACGAAAGGTCACCACCAACCCACTCTCCTAAGCTAAGCAGTCATAGCTGCCAAAACCAACCTCTATGTACTCGGTTCTTCTTAACAAGGTGCCAACAATGTGCAATTACAGCAAAAACAAAACAAAGTGTGGCGAAACGTGAGCCCCCATCCAAAGAGGCAAAGTACGTGGCCTGTCAAAGTGCAGTCCGAAGCAGCTGGGGTCTCACCGTGGTTCTGGTCGCAGCCCCACTCGTCGCTGCCATCCGCGCAGTCCGGGTGGGAGTTGCAGACGTCGGCCAGCGGGACGCAGCCGGCACTCTCGGCACACCGGAAGTGGTCCGACGTGCAGCCGCCCGTCCCTGCAAGGCAGCACCCTTAGCCGGACAATCCAGTGTGGCCCATGTCTGCCCGCACACAAGGATGCACGTGCACCCAGAAGACAATGCCCTGTCGGAGCAAGCTGAGAGCAGTTCGTGCCGGTAGCCAAATACACCGCCAAATTTCATTTTGGAGAGCTCCAAAGTTTCCTTCCCATCGTGCACAGGCACGGAGAAAGTTGGAGGGAGTGAATTCCCGCCGCCAGCACGGATGGGGGTCGAGTGCCAAAGTTTCACTTTCACTTAAAGAAGGCCCGAGAAAGGCCAATGAATGCCTAGAAAGGAGGGGAATGCCCCAAGCTGATGGCTGAAAAGGCTCGACATGTTTGATTATTCTGGCAGGGAGGTAATTTCCCCTCAAAAGAACACTGTTCAAAAAAAATTTGCAGAGCCCTTCCGCCTTGCGTGAAGATGGAGAACCAGTGAAGCTGTTATTTTTACAATGTCTAGGATGATGCCTCGAGGACTTCTAGGGTGACCTCAAGGACGACTTCTAGGATGACCTCGAGGACACCTTCTCGTCCTAGGACGACCTCAGGGACGACTCCTAGGACGACCTCAAAGGGGCACCGACACCCCAAAGGTCGTATCTTTTTATTGTCTAAAACGATGCAAGTTGTAGTGATAAACACGCAAAAAAATACCGCATCACAAAAAAAAATTTCCCCATGTAATTTCCCCTTTTTATTTTTGCCGTTTTTCTTTCCCGCTCCTCACCTCCTCGCTTCTTTTGATTTGTGACATCAAATATCATAAAATTGAGAAGCTTTGTAGGTAACATTTCTATAACATTTAGTAACAGCAATCGTAAAACATGTTTTTTAACGGAATTGCAAACGCACTACGGCCCTTCTTTTTGAAATTTCAGAATTCGGAGTCCGGTGTGATGTTGCAACCTGGATTTTTATCTTCCCTCAGAAAACATGGCGGCGCTCAACGCATGTAGCAGAGGGTGATCGGTGAGTAGCAGAGGGTGATCGGTGATAGGTGCCCGACGACCTCTCAGACTTCGAAAAGGAAATTGTCAAATGGTCAAAACAACTGGGTTCGCTGTCTGCGTATCAAAGTTTCGGCTGATACTCTGCCGGGGCAGTGTCATCTGCTCGAAGCGATAGGCAGCACGGCACGCAACGCAGGAATCTGGTTTCCCGGTATGCCGGTACCCTTCCCTCCCGCTCCTCACCTTGCTTCGGATCGCGGCGACATTGGGTGGCAACGGCCTTCAGGAGCGGAGGTGCGAAAGAAACTTGACTCGCAGGACCTCTCAATATTCAATGTCACTCCACTGGCGCGGATCGCACGGGAACTTCAAACTCTGCATTTAGAAATTGTTTTTTTACTTCACAAATACTGAATTCCCAAGCTTTGAATGGTGTGGGCAGTCTCCAGGCATCATTTTCAATCACTTCGGATAACACAAAAAAAAGATGACTTTGACGTGCCAGTGCCCCTTTAAGGACGACCTCAAGGACGACTTCTAGAACAACCTCAAAAATGACCTCGAGGACGACCTCGAGGAGTACCTCGAGGATGACTTCTAGGACAATTTCGAGGACAACCTCGAGAACGACGCCTAGGACGACCTGAGGACGACTTCTAGGACGACCTCGAGGACAAGTTCTGGAACAACCTCGAGGACAATGTCTCGGACGAACTCAAAAACGACTTCTAGGACGATTTCTAGGACAACCTCAAGGACGATGTTTAGGACGACCTGAGGGAGGACATCTAGGACGACCTCTCGGACAACCTCAAGAACGACCTTGAGGACGACATCTAAGACAATCTCGAGGACGACGCCTAGGACGACCTCGAGGACGATGCCTAGAGATGATAACAAGGGATGAGGACCTCACTATCTAATAATGGCAAGGAATGTTGTTTCACGCTGGTTGCCCCCTCTTTTTATTTATTCATACTTACCACGACCAATGAGGAGTTTTCCGTCAACATTTTTTCTCAGATCCTAGCGCATAACAGCTTCGCTGTAAAACATCTCTTTTGACACGAGCAGAAAAGAGAAAGCTTACATCGATACTTGGCATAAAGCCGACCGAAGCAGAATGTGTTGTTCTTTGAATCTGTTTTGCCCGTTGGGCTTTTGGTGTAATCCGTTAAGGAGTGGGTTCTCGAGCATCTCTTGACTGATGGCCAAGGAACCTTTCCTAGTCTCAGCAATGATGCATGCCGGAAAAGCCTACGGGCCCTCCGAACAGTAATTCACATACTGGAACTCGCATTAATTTCATCTCGGTTAATTTATCATTTAATGCGATTGCATTCTAAAGTCCCGGCAGCTGCCAATACGTTTCTATGGAAGAAGAAATGCAATATTACTAAAAAGCAAGGACTGCATCGTTTAAAGGGTAACTGCAAAGAAAAAAAAGTTTTTTTTTAAATAGCCTAATTGGGACAAGCATGTCAAAAAACAATTTTTCCGCGAGAAAAAACATTTTTTACAGCAATATTTATTGCGTGAGACTCATTTTAGTTTGCGGCTATTTCGTCCGTTTTAAATCGCGCGCCACGAAGTTGTGATTATGTGACGTCAATCCCAAAAGGTTCTCATTGGCTAAGAGTTTGATTGACAGCTTAGATCTTGGTTGTTAAACCTTTGTTATATGTTGCAATTTCCTTTTGAGCCGCATATTTTTACGTTTAAAGAATAAGCCATGTGATGAGAGTTATTATTCTTTACAAAAGGTTTACAAGACGGGCACTTCCGTTTGGATTCATACAAACGAAAGCTTCGCCATTCTTTCATGGCCGCCGAAGTCTCTGCTCCCGCAAGTCTCGCCTACCTCGACTAATCGTTTCGCCGAAGTGATCAGTGTTTCGTCGTTTCGTGCTGACCCAGGTGCTTGAGTGAGACTTCTGTCGCAGGTGTTAGTGATAGGAAGCGACGCGGGGTTTTGGCTTTCATAGCGCGGTTCTTTCGTTTTCCTCTTTGCTTGCTCAGCGTGCTTTTTTTCTTTTTTTTTTTGTTTGTTTTGCTTGTTTGCGCGTGCAAATGCTGCTTTTTCGGAGATGTCAGATGCGTGATCCCGACAGTGAGCCTTCCAGCAGCCACGTCGCCCCGAAAGGAATGCTATTTGGCTGGAGGCAATCGGGCGTTCGCGTAGCGACCAACGTGTCTAGTTACGTTCTCGTCATATCGCTCTGGAGGCCGTAGAGATTCGCCCCGTGTGCACCTAACATCAGCGACTAGACAGAAAATAAAAAAGCACTATGTCCACTACGTAAAAAGTGGCCTCAGTTCATGCATCTGTAGGCAGGTACGAAATCGTGCCCAAATTTATTCACACCGCACGATGCAACACGTCGCTGTGCAAACGCAGTCCAACATGAAGCATAAAAACGGCAGATTTAGGACAACAATTCGGAGTCCATTGTTCAATTAAAAGGACGTAATTTTGTAGAAAACGCCCGCAGCTTTTTACTCACGGTATGCGTCGGGAAACTTCCACATTTTGAAACAGAACGAGGCAGATTTACTTTTAAAAACGCTCCCAGCGTCCTCCCGGACCAGTTTGACTGGATCAGCTGACGACGACGGGACTGAACTGGTTGAACGTCAACCCCACAACAACCAATTTGCGCTCCGTGTTAGCACCGCATTACACACACCACGCACGTTTCAGCTCTGTCGCATCGCCGTGTTGCACCAAACAGTTTGAGATCGCCGAAACCAATGCAGAGCTGTCGTGAACCTTGGCTTGTGGTTGCGCACTCGTGGATTCTGTGACTCCCTTCGCTTTCAAAGCGCGCACGACGATTACGAACGATACTTTCCGTCTTCCGGGAACATCACAGGGGCACTTCTCCGGTCACGTCTTCGCTACATGTGCTCGCAAACCGCGTCAAACCAAAACAATACCGCGGCCTGGCGTAGTTGCCAGATCTTGCCGGAAGTCGAGACGCTGCGTCGTTCAACTCCGCAACGCAAGGAGAGTGAGGGGCGGGGCGTACTCCTCTTCCGCGGGGGTCGAAAGAGCGGGAGTTTCAAATGTGGAGAGGTTCTGACTCTACTAAATTACGTCCTGTGGCGTAAATATTGATAAAAAAAATCATTTTTTTTTGCGGAACATTTGTTTTGTGACATGCTTGTCCCAATTAGGCTGTTTAAAAAAAAACTTTTTTTCTTTGCAGTTACCCTTTAACTGGACCCAAGCGAAAACGCGCGGACGCACGACGAGCACCGCCAGACCGAAGATCTCCTTGTTTACTTTTGCCTAGAGAGCGTACATTTCAGAGTTTCCCATTGTTCAATCCAGACCGCGTGGCACCGTGTTAGCAAAATGGGCTGCAAGGAGACGAAAGCGTGTGTGTCTGCCTCTCCATCCGCTTTTGTCCTCGCCTTACAACGATGCAGCACACATTTACTTCCGATGAAATGGCGCAGGAGGCGTCCACCATTATATTGCAGATGCTCTCCATGGTTTGAACTGTTCCCTCTCTCTAGGCCCTCAACTTTTGTCAGGTATCTTTTTATCCCTTTTTCAGAACGTCTCTCTAACTTGCTCTTTTCTTTTTATTGTTATTTTCGGGAGGCGGTGGACCAATAACAATGTATGCAACAATGATTTTTCTTTTTCTTACTTCGAGGCGCGATTTTTTAGGGTTGTTGTGCACAGGACCACTTTCGTTCGCAGCTGCGCAATTGCGGTGGAGCTTGTTCACCCCCTTCATTGCCCACGGCGAGGAGTAAAAATGGCGGGAGTATGGATTAGTGTGTACTGCTAAGCTCAGTTGTGCAGTGTTCTGCAGGGAAGTGCCGTCCATCTTTGGAAGCAGATTTGTGGGCATTGTACAAAAAGTGCAAAGGCTGCACAAAAGTGCGTGGGAGCAGTGCCTGCATTTTTGACTGGAAGAGCCACAGTCTGCAGCACTGTCCCTGCGAACTTTGAATTACTGAGAGTCGACCTAAGTAACCTATGGCAAGTCTCCACAGCTCGTCAGACGCCACGGCCTGTGATCGCCTA